CCCGGCGGCGCTGTCACTAGCAGCGGCGAGGGAAAGATGGCTAGAGGCCAAACCAAGGGCGGCGGCGGCTGTACGCCCCCATGACGCCCTAGGTAGGCGACGCGGGGGTAGGGCGATGAGTTTTTCTGTCTACAACTAGATAAAATGCTCCATGATCTCTGGACCAGGAAGTTTATAGGAATAGTATTGGGATTTTCAAAGAAATCTTTTCTTTATAACTCTATGGTCTGTATGAATGGATTCCTATTTTTATGTAGGATAGAAATTAATCCTTCACATTTCAAATAAAAAAACATTGGCCTAGATGAATTTTTTTTATCCTATACATCAAATGACATTTATTTTCTTATAGGAATTAAGATACCTGTTTATCTCACTTCCTATAATTTTCTTATTCCTCTATGACCCAAAGAGACCTTAACGTGTAAGCGACCAAGTAGTCAACTGTGGTTACGTCGTTCTTTGAGAAATCACTTGCACTGTTTCTTTCAACCAATCAGCATCGAACTCTGCTCCGTTGCTTTCAAATGATGGCCATTTTTGCAGAGATAGACCACAAGGTTTCTTGCATGCACTAGCACATGACAGCACGAGCAGAGCAGCTGTAGCCGTCACACGAGCCGTGGCCATCAGGTTGTTTCATCTAGAGAGAATACTCCCAAAGATCGACATCAACGTGTGCCGCTCTCTGCCGTCGTCTTCCGATCCTCCAACTCTGCGCGCAAACGAAAGGTTTTGAACATGATTGTTGCAAGCTTGTAAGAATGCACATTATTGTTGTAGGGCCAGCTTCTCATGTCTTTATTGTATGATTAGCAGTTAGCACTCTCTGATTGGCAGTTAGCCCAAAAATGTGTACCACTTGACGCTGACCTAGCAATCACCAGCAGTACCTCCTGAGTGGCTGTGTACGATCCCACTGAAGATATCTCTTTGTGTCTTCTGATTTAAGCATCTGATTTTTCCGTATGGCTAGCTAGTCTTCTCACTAAGGCCATGAGACCATCTGATTCTTCTTACCACAACAGCCCTGTCTCTTCAAGGCATTTAGCATCAAGGATTTTGCAGGGAATTTGTGCTGCTCTTTGTTCTCGTGCGCTCAGCCAACTTCTACATGCGCATGTTGGATTAGCACTCCAAACCTTGCTCTGACTGATTTTCTCAGTGTGCGTGTATGCGCATGGGGTTTCCTATTCTCCACGTTTTTGTGTGTGGCTGATTAGTTGGGATTAACAGCTATGATTAGTTAGATTTGTGGATGATTAGTTGGAGTTTGGAACTTTAGAATTAGTTAGATCTCGATGCTTGATAGTATATTTTGATTTGTGGGAAGAAACGTGCCTGGGCTTTGGGCCGGGCCTCGGGTTTATATATCGGGCTAGGGTTGGGATTGCGTACTGGTGAATTTTGGAGCTTCAGGCCAGGCTCAGGCTGACCTTTTGATGATTGCGGTGTGGCAAGCCCAACCAGAAACCAGCCCGGCCCGAGGATTGCTCAGTTTTATTTCCTTCTCCTTTGTCCCATCAATTCGACACGCAACCTGCCGGTTGCTTCGTATATTTCACCCCTGTAAAGGATCACTAAAGCCCTATCTCACCCTGCACTTCCCCTCTCTAGGATCCCCCCATCCCCATCATCCAACTACTGAGATCCATAGCAACTCTTATTGCCGGGTAACTTTATGAGTTTTTTTTTGCGGGGCAAATAGGAGTTTTATTCCATAATGATAGGGTTACAGTCCAGTGGCAGTAGTGCCTCAATACACGGAGGACCATGGTGTAGCCATACAACAATAGTACATTCATATCGACTATAACTAGCCAAACGATCTGCTACCCTATTCTGTTCACGGGAAATTTTCTGGGTAACTTTATGAGTTAGGAAAAGAAGTCATCAAAAACATATCAAAGAGAAGATCTAGTGTTGAAGTTGCTCACTATCTGAGAAAAATCCGGTAACAAATATATAGCCGGCTGGTAACTTTCTGAGCTCTAAAATAAGTCGACAAGCAATACTTTGCGAATAGACCGTTAACTGACATATTAGTGGCTGGTAACTTCTGAATTCGAAAATAAATTCTTTGTGTTTGTCATGTACTTACCGGGTAGTTCAAGTTACATTTGCCACCATGACAATGATATAGTCATCCAATTGTCCATAGTACAGTTATTATCATATCACTATTACAATTATCCATCATCCCAATTAGAGAGACCGGTGTGTCAATTTATGTAGTTACCCGCTTCTATTGCAAATATTATAGTTACCAACATGTCAACTATGTAATTATCTAGCTACCCGTGCTACAATTACCAACCTGACACAATTGTAGTTATCCACATATCTAGGTCAGAGTCATCAACATAGGAGTTATATACAAACATGAGTAACTGTTGTGAGACTAGTGTTGGACTCGAGTACTACTTGTGAATAACTCGTATATGTTGGCTAAAATAGATAAATAAGGTTTGTCGCTTGAGAGCGCTAAAACACATTTACAAACTAAGATGGAATTCTGCTGACATCAGCATTTTTTTTATTAACTCATTATGTACTGCGTGCATGCATACATAATGAAATGTGGTAGAGAGAAATGGAAGCAAGGAACCGCGTGGTGGTGATTTGGTGTGCTTGGTAGATACGTACACTATGTATACATAAAGTTCATTGCGTATCGCACTCTAGTAGAGCTAATAAAGAAAGGATAAGAGTTCATTGCGTGTCACACTCTATGTAGAATTTTGTAAATACATCAATTTGTATCGCCAAGCAAATCACGGGTCGGAAATGATGAGAGTTAGCCACCAACCGAATAGTGTTGGAGGTGACCATGGCCTCACACCTAGAGTAGGCAAGTGGACGGACGCGCAGCCCCTGTCTTGGAATGGTGCAAATTGTCCGCATCCTAAATTCTGTTGCGTGCGAGTCCTACGGACCATACGTACGTGTGAGGTGCCATCCGTTTGGACTTTCTTGGACTGCCGTTTCGTCCAGGATTACGCCAGCTGACCAACTCGGCTCGACCTTCTCTGATAAAGGCATGGCACCGATGCTGCCAACCGCATGCTGGCCGCACGGCTGTGTTTCAGTGAGATAGAACCTTTGATCGCACGCCTTACCAGTCTCTTGTGGCATGGCGGCCCTGCAGCTTGCCGCCCTCCTTGCCCTGCTGCTCGCGCTGTGGCGTCTCGTGTGGCGGCCGCGCGCCGTGGCGCGGTCGTTCGCGAGGCAGGGGATCCGAGGGCCGCCCTACACGTTCCTGGCCGGGTCCTTGCCGGAGGCGAAGCGGCTGCTGATCGCTGGCCGGAGAGGCGTGCCGCCCCTCGACGCCGGGTGCCACGACATCATGCCCATCCTGCTGCCGCAGTTCCACAGATGGGTCGCCGATTATGGTAAAGTACTAACGGTAAATGGCTTCTTTAGATTAAACTGATAGCTACCTATTCCCAAACTCCTCGAGGAACTGAATCTTCCTTTAGATATAATATGATCCTACAAGCTAGGATTGAGATGGTTGGTCGTTGCATATCTAGTTGCAACATTATCCTTAATCATATTTAATTAATTCTCGAATATAGTATTCATAACTTTTTTTTGTTCGTTCAGGCAAAACGTTCCTGTTCTGGATCGGGCCGATTCCCGCCATCTTCTCTATCGACCTGCAGCTGATAAAGCAAGTGCTCACAGACAGGACGGGCCTGTATCAAAAGGACTTCATGATCCCTGTGCTGAAATCCCTCTTCGGCAACGGCGTCATATTGATAAACGGTGACGACTGGAAGCGGCACCGGAAAGTAGTCCTTCCTGCTTTCAACTATGAGAAGATCAAGGTTAGAGCATTGTCAATAGTATAGTCAGGTGATAGCTATTTTTTTGGAAAAACTTATGATCTATTCATCAAACAACATGGCAGTACAAAGAACATAAGAAGTAACAAAAATTACATTAAATGCGCAGAAAAGATGATAATTATTCAATAACATTAAGGTTGATTACAAGGTTGGCTATTAGATTAGTCTTAATTATACTTGCACTTATAGATTTCTCCTATAAATGCACGTGAGGTGTGAGCATTATTAGTGTTGTAACTTCTAACACTACACCCGGGCTAATGATTTAACCCGTGTGTAGAGCATGTCAGCGGTGACGGCAGAGGTCACAAGGCAGATGATACAGCAATGGGGCGAGCAGATACACCAAAGCAACAGCGACAAGAAAGCAGCTGAGATAGACATGATCCACGCCTTCAACGACCTGACTGCCAATATCAACGGCCGCGTCGCCTTCGGCACTACCCACCGGGATGTCGAGGAGGTCATCGTCTTGATGCGGGAGATGCAAAAGATCGCCACTGCGGCCATGCTCGATGCTCCAATACTCTGGTAGAGTAATAGTAGTATTTGCTTACAGACCAGTTCTGAATCCAAGCTCATGACATTAACCATGTTAATCTTATGCCGTTCAATTCAGGTATCTGCCGACTCGGCGTAACTTGCACGTTCGACGCCTGAACAAACAGCTGAGAAGCAAGATCATGTCGATCATGCAGGCACGGCTGGCCGCAGATGGAGCCAAATATGGTCGAGGAGACACCGGCAGCTGCGGGGACGACCTGCTCGGGCTGTTGTTAGAGGCGTGGACACCGCACCGGCAAGTGAGGGGCGGCGATACGCTGACAACTGACGAGGTGATTGATGAGTGCAAAACCTTCTTCGCCGCAGGGCAGGAAACCACGGCCACCCTCCTCGTCTGGGCCATGTTCCTGCTTGCCGTGCACCCCCAGTGGCAGGACAAGGTCAGGGAAGAGGTCCTCCGGGAGTTCCCCGGCGGGGACAGCGACGATGTGGTACCCAACGCGGATGTTCTCGCCAAACTGAAGCTGGTGCGTACATTTCAACTGTCAATATCATTTTTCCTATATTTTCGTACGAATGTATTCGGTATCATAAATGCTCATATTGTTTCTATAAAGTTGGTCAAAGTTTACAAAATTTAACTGTTGAGATTGTTTGTATGTAGTGTAATTTTGCAAAGAGGGAATAACTAATGTGTTGTGAGCATGCACTGTGACTTTTAACTTATGCAGCTACACATGGCATTGCTCGAGACATCGCGTCTCTACCCTCCAGTTGTGTACATACAACGGAAAGCTGCCTCCGACACCGTCCTCGGAGGCATCAAAGTAACCCAGGGAACAATCATATCAATCCCCATTGGCATGCTACACCGAGACAAGGAAGTTTGGGGCCCCGACGCCAACGAGTTCAACCCCATGAGGTTCGAGCAGGGCGTCACAAAGGCTGCCAAAGACTCCAAGGCGCTCTTGACTTTCTCTCTAGGCCCGAGAGTGTGTACTGGTCAGAACTTTGGCATCGTGCAAGTGCAGGTTGTCATGGCAATGATCCTCAGCAAGTTCTCCATATCCCTCTCCCCGGCATATGTTCACAAGCCAAAGTATCTTCTGTCTTTGACACCCAGGCTTGGGATGCCTCTCATTTTGAGGAATCTACTATAGATGGGCATTGTAATGCATGAGAGTAAAATCGTTATAATTTCAGTCCCCCCGCAAAAAAATATTATAATTTCAGTGTCTTAGTTATGGTGCGACATTCTACATAATCGATTTAGAGATGCAACCAATTATGCATACAGAGATCATATCAACTTAGTAATAGACGAATCTTCTTGGATACAAATACAAGCAAGAAGATCAAGGTACATGTAGTTGTGATGTTAAGATGGAAGACGATGTCGTTGGTGGTACCGTGGCCGTCCCTGCTTGACCAGCGTAACCTCGAGACTGGATCCATCCAAAATCATTTTGCCAAAAGCATCTATGGCATCTTGTGGATGAGCATACACCGTCGACATGGTTACAAAACCGACACCCTGGGAGCACTTGGTATCTTTGTGGTAGAGTACCTCGGTGCTAGTCACTTTGCCGTGCTTGCCGAAAAAAAGTTCCAGCTGGGAGCCATTCACCGTGAGAGGCAAATTACGCACCATCACCCTGAAACAAGGCTCGTAATGTTTCGAGATGTGAATAATGCTTGGTAGGCTAGTTACTGGAGCTGTCTTCTGCTGCTTGTGCTTCACTTCTAGAGCCTTGCACCTCTTAGTGATTTCCTGACCAAACAAAATCGAAGATAAATTTTTAGCACCTTTTTTCAGTTAATGGTGCTTATATGTTCATGGGTTAAACTCTTACAGGTACAGCTGTATTAACTTGATATGAATGTGACCACAAAATTAATGAAATATTCTATTATAAAAAATATCAATTTTAACTCTTTTACTAGTGTATATACCTGAATTGGAGCAATAGCGGGTTGCGGGACGAGCCACGTGCACCTCTCGTCATCCCATCCTGGAGGTAGCCGCTCTACGAAATCAGTCTTGGCATTGAGGAAGTTGTACCTGAAAACGCCACAATGTCCAGGCGGGAAGGCCTTACATTGGCCCTTACTGTTGTCGTAGACGAAGTAGGCGCAGCCACCATGGCTGCCCAGCCGCGAGGCGTCTATGGCGAAGCTATTGGGCGACCCAAGAAACAACACACGATCCGCCAGGCTACACCCATCTTTTCTCACCCACCGCATCTTCTTCCCTTGCGCCGCGGCGTCCTCCTCCTCTAGCTTATGCACCAACACCCATAGGGCATCAACGTTGCGGGTACCTTCTTTGCAGGAAACACTGTAGGAGGTGCGAACCGATGCCCATAACAGCTTGCCACGGGACACAAAGACGTAGCAGTCCTTGCACTCGTATTCGCCAGGGACCAACAAGTCACCGGTGGCGGCGGCTTCTGGCGTGATGACCTGCAAGATACTACCGGCCCCCATAGTGACCAGGATCCTGCCTCCGTGGTACGCAGCAATGCACTCCAAGTGTTTGACGTCATCAAAAGTCCTGTCGATGAGAGTCCACTTTGAGTCCCCAGGGTGCAGGAGAGCCGCCGTGAACATGGCCCTGATGGAATGATCATAGCTGACGTTGGTGATGCTGCTGCTGTAGAGCAGGATCGTGCCATCGGCGTAGATAGTTCCCTGGGGATTATTCTTGTCCCACTGACTGCGGACGTTGTACGGGAGACGAGGCATGTTATGGGCGGTTTCTCGGGTGAGAAGATCGTAGAGACAATGGCGGGGATGTTCAATGGTGAGGTATCTGATGGCGGTGGCGCTGCACACCCGGTACCTCGGTGGCGTGGACGGCAGCATGGACCGATAGCTGGACTTGGAGAAGATGCATCTGAATCGGAGGGCGGCCGAATCTTTGCCGTCCGCCGCGAGGAGCCAAGGCAGGAACAACGGCGGCCGCGCCTCGTCGCGTGAGGCACGCCATGGCTTTCAGACGGCATGGAAGCGGACGAAGTCGGCGACGTCGTCCAGCCATGCGGCGATCTCGCACAGCAAGTCCGGCAGGAGGTCCGCCCACCGCGTCTGGTCCATGGCGGCTGCTGGATGGTGGAGATGGAGTCGATCAATCTAGGGCGTTCGTTGGTTTGCTGCTGGATACATACTATATATGCCTGTCACGAGTTCCTAACTTCTTATTCAAGTATGTTCTCAAATATTGAATGTATGCACGTATATGGAGTTATACGTTATTTCGAGATAAATATTGGACTATATGCAATTTTGAGTTATATATGAACGGGCTCTTGTCTATGAGTGATTTTTTTATAAGGAGTCTATCAATAATATTAGGAAAACATTTAGAATCCACTGAACGATAACAGAGAAAGATAAACCGTGCGCATTGATGGACACGTGTCATGCGGACCCATCCACCGCTTTCCCAGCTGCAGCCTTATCCCTTCGCGTAGTCTCTCCTCCACCCTTTATTTCCCATCTACTATGTTTGTAGAGAGGCTTCCATGGCGACGCAAAATCAACAAGTCTATGGAAGCGAACCAGAAGGAGCGACGGCACCAACCACCCTACTGCATCCCGTGGCATAATGAAGGATGGTGGAGCCCCGCGTGGCACCGCCACGTGCTGCAACTCCATGGAGGCGACACACACGCATGGGGGAGGCGGTCGCTCGCCGGCATTGCCGGTGATGTGATGCGACGCTCGACGACGACCGTTGGTTCGGCGACGCAGCAACTCATCCATGCACAACTCTGCGGTGCAACCTCGAGGCAACGCTAATAGTGCTACAAGTCACCGGCGTCGGAGCTGCAATGGAGCGCTCTTCGCCGGCAACGATGCATCGCAACATCTGCCATGGCCGCAGGCGCTGTATCTTAGCTTCCGTCGTCGTCACCACGCACTGCGTCGCAGCATCCATCATGGCCGCCGACGATGCATCTTAGCTTCTGTCATCGTCACCATGCACTGCGTCGGAGCTTCCGCCATGGCC